TTAAGTTCATAAACAAACATGATGGCTTTTTCAGCATGCTAAATTTCAATTCCATAATTTCATTCTTGCGGGTTGTAGCATATTTTGGCATTTTTTTGAAAAAGTTTAACAGTTATTTAATGAATTCTCGAAAAACTATGGAATGTTAATTTTTTTTATTTCATCGTATTTCTCGAACACTTTTCTACACACTTTAGTTATTTCAAGTTTAATAGGTTTTGCGCTGTGAAACAAAATTTAATGATATTTTGAACACCCAAAACAACAGCATCGGTGGCTTTGTCCCTTAAGATTTTTTAATATCGAAAGATATACTCTCTGTCCTTATTCACAAAATAAACTGAGACGAGTTATAATTTCATGAATTACTTGGCACCCTTGCTATTTTGTATAATTAAGATCAACTACATTCCTATTACAAATTACATGATAAAAGTAATCGTGACAATGTACAATAACTATTTTTTCAATAAATAAATACGGCAAAATACAACAAAAAAAATGCCATTGTATAAATTCTGAATAACAAAATTTGTTAGACTCTACTCTACCACGCAATAGAAAAACCAATGAAAGTGACAAAAATTTCAAAATTGAGATTTTCATATATTTGGCAACTTTGTTTAACAAGCTATATATTACAATTTTTAAAAAAACAAAAACAAGATTCTTTTATCAGTTTTCTGTAATCAGAGCCGGATTGGGCGTAGGCGGGCCCTTGGCCATTCAGAATTTTGGGGCCCTTAGATTTTTTTTCTCGTATATTTTCTATTTATTCAAATATAAAACTATTTAAATATCTTTTCATTCACGAAAGCATATTTAAAATAAATAATAATAAATTAAATTTTAATAAGTAATAAATATGATTAACATTATATAAAAAATTATTGTATTTTATTAATACATATTTAAAAAAATTTTTTTAAAATCATTATTTTTCTTAGTTTTTTAAAATTTATTTTCAAAAAATCCATTTCAAGGGGGCCCCTAATCATTGGGGGCCCCAGGCCATGGCCTAGTCTGGCCTAATATGTAATCCGACACTGTCTGTAATAATATTTTAGCGTTGATACTGTTAGCAATAGAGAGAAAATTGTTGTCTGGTTACTTCTTTTGAATCTTACATTGTTTTTCAATTGCCCGTCATTTCTAGCATTAATGACTCTATTCTGAAACGTGGATTAATTAAGTTGAAATAATATGGAATTGCAGCTTGAAAAATCGTGACTGATACAAACGCTGTAACTATGTTTATAGCGTATTGATCATCTTTATTGAACAAATATTTTTCTTCATTAATGTATTTTTTTCCATAACTTTTTGAAAACAATTAGAGAATAAGTTTTACTGAACAGAAGCTTTTTTTCATATCAAAATTGTTTTTTTTATTTTGTATTAAACAAGAGAAATTAATTGTTCAAGATTATAAATCTCCAGATATATTATTGTAACGTGCATGTAGATACACGTAAAGTAAGTATATGTGTAGATATGTATATGTGTAGATATGTATATGCATTATCCCAACGCAAAGTTTAGTTCAGTTTTTACTCTTAGTTTAGTTTTTATGTTTCTTTTTGTTTTAATGCTTGATTAATTTAGTATTTTTAGTTTTTATTGCACTAGGACATTTTGAATTATTTTATTTCATATTAATTTGGCGTAAAATAAGAATAAATTCATGAATAAAAGAAATTATTATAAAGTTTAATATAAAACTTTTAATGCGATAATAATAATTTTTTATTATTGCATTTGAAGTTTCACCCTTTTTTCTTGTTGTTTGTTTTTGCTTAAATATTCAATAACTTGGTCCGGAAATTATGTATAAATAATTATGCTAAATGGAAAGCTTTAAAAAAAATGTATTTTGCAGTGCGAAAATTTTTGACTACAAAATCCAGATACAGAACTTTCCTTTCGATAGTATTTTTTATTCCTTTTTTTTTTTTACAACCATCGTTGAACAGCCGATTCAATTTCATGGGTTTACTCCGTAGCCGTGTAATTTTGAACCCAATCCAGAAGACATGGGAACTCCTGGATCTTGGGAGAAATTTGCCTTCTTAGAGGACTTTTTGATGGAGGAAACCCGCATTTGCGTTACATGGGGAGGAAGACCACGAGAACCTCCCACGGTTAGCCTAACGTGGGGACCCATGATCCATCTACCATTGAGGATATTTCACGTCATCACCGTGGTCACTGCAAGCCGGATGCGGAATTCGTATCGACAGGGATTCGAACCCGGTTCGCCGCATTGGCAGGCGAGCGCTCAATCCCCTGAGCCATTGCGGCTCCCTTCCGACAGTTTAAATAATTGCTGTTGACAGTTTAAAAAATTGTGGTAAATTGACTAGAGATTTCTTTTACTTGGAATAACAATCACATTGGCAAACGCACTATTGTGTTGCAATTGTCTGAATAAAACTTTCACGTTTCCATTACTAAATGCAGTAGACGGGGCAAAAAAAAGAAGAAATAATTTTCAAAATTTTTGTGGTCATCAAGAAAAATTTAGCTGTCAATTTTCAAACACAAGGAATGTATTTCTTTAGAAAAAATTTACACCAGTTTAAAAATTTCGGTGGTCTCTTGAGAACCTTTGCGTTACGTAGCGATTGGTAGGAAGAAGTCAATAATGCATTCAGGGTTTTCATGGACAATTAAAAATACAAAATTTGGTAACTAATAAAATTCAAAACATTATTTTAAAAAAAAGTAATAAAGAAAAAAAATTGTGATCGCCGATTACCCATTGGCAAAATGGCTGTTGTCTGATTTAAATTTTTTTTTCTTTTTTGACCCTTTTATTTGTGATTGAAAACGATCCAGTTTGAACCGTAGGTTAGAATTTCTGATTCTTAATTAAAACAATAAAAACAGAAATATCGTTCAAATGATGAAATTCTCCTTTATTCACAACTCAAGAAGCATTTATGAGATCTCTCTGGTCCCATAGCTCAAAAATTAACTCCTCACCAACCTAATGCATAACAAAATTAAAAGTGAAAAAAAGAATTCTAAAAAAATTATCAAATAGCAGCCATAGAAGCCAATGCGCACTGTTTACTATTGCTCGTGAACACAGTTGAAAAGTGTGATGACGTCCAAATAAGGTGCGCACGCCATCAAACCCAAAACAACACCCATTTTACCAATGGGTAATAAATAAGAATAATAAAAAAATAATTTAATTTAATCCATTTTTAAATAAATGTTATGGCAAAATACTTTCATGTTAAAAACTTTCATTAAAGTATTACGTTTTTCTTAAATGTAATAAAAATTTTTTTTAATTAACAGCGTCGTCACAAAACTAAAAAACTGCTAGTAAAATTACTAAACTGATTTTTGAAAGCTCAACTGCTCTATTTTCGCAATTTAATATTTTGAGAATAAAAATCTCTCGCAGGGATTCTCTAACTAAAATAGTTTTTTTTTATGTATAATTTGAAAATGTTAAGTTTTCGATTGTTCGTTTATAAATTTTGTTACCAGTTTTTGGTTTTAAGAGGGCGCTGGGTAAGCTTAAAAAAATACTTGATTACTTCATTGTTAAATCTATTTGAAAATCATAATTTATCATAAGAAAATGTTTCTCGCATAAAATATTTAACTATTAAAAATGTACCTTCATAATGACAACTATTAACTATATTGACAACTATAAAGTTAAGTTTATTAGTGCTCTTCGTGATCAAATGGATGCATTCTTCGATTAAATGCCTGAGGTCGTTGCCCTTTCGTTCTTTTTTCTACACGCCACTTGAAGATATCAATATATTATTTTACAAAAGTAAGAAAAGGAATTCCCTCCATTCGTTTAACAGATTTTTTTTTGAAGAAAAAGAACATTACTCTTTTCGAAAAGAATTCCACCAGGGCCCCATGAAAATATTGCCCCTGTCTGCCGCAGAATACGGCCTTGGAAATTAAGTTTGCTAAAACCATTTTAATTCTTTCAATAGCATTGAATATGCCTACTTCTAAGAATAGAGCTTGTGCCTTCCAATGAGGTGTCCCGGGTTCGAATTCCAGCAATGGCTAGTCGATACGAATTCCGCACCCAGCTCGCACCAATCACAGGGCTGATATAAGAAATCCTGATAGACGGATCATGTGTGATAGTGCCCTTGCCGTCAAGCTAATCGTACGATGTTTTCGTGGTTTTCCCCTCCTTGTAACGCGATACGGGTTAGTTCTATCAAAAAGTGGAATTTGGCTGTGGCATATTTCTAACAATATTTGAACCAGAAGTTCTCTTGTCTTCTGGATTGGGTTCAAAATTACAAGGCTGTCGAGTTGAACATTAGTAGTCGTAAACCCAAAGATTGAGTCATCTGTTCAACGACGGTCATAAAATAAAATTTGCCCTTTTGAGCGAAGATATCATTTAATAAATTAATAAATTATGTTTTAGTTTTTTATTTATTTCTTTAGCTGGTTACATAAGATAGCTGTTATGATTCATAATCCTTATCAACAAGATTTCAAAAAAATTCGTATTTCCGGAAAAAATCACATATATAAATATATATATATTATGACTAATATTACTCCCCCCCTCCAAAAAAAAATCGAGGTTGACGACTTCCTCTCTGAAAATGCTTATCTTTTTCCTTTAATATGAACTTAATGTCATTCTGTTTCAGTAATATCCGTTCAGAGTGAATGCAGGAAAAAATAACCCTTCATCATTCCAGAATTACGTTACGTAATCCATTTCACTAGTTTCTTTTTCTGTATCCATCTGCGCTTGTGTACAAATAATTTGACATTCTGCGCACGCGCGTCTCTTTGCTGTGAACGAAAGAGCCGGTTAATTTCTTAGTTTCGGCTCAGGCTAGTTTGTATTGTAGTTTTGTCAGTTATCGATTTGCTGAAATTTTGATTGTATTGTAATTTTACTTTTACTTTTTTGGCTATGTTATGCACCATTCATTGATTTTGTTATTCTTTTTAGTTTGTACACAAATTTGACGTTTTTATTATAGCTAAGAAATGAATGTATGATATTCATTAACTGAGCAGATTTCTGCATGCTCTGCTTGAAGAATTTCTTGGCAATTATTTTCAAATTGAAGTATGGGATCGAAATCCTCGGATAAATTCCTCAGGAATGGTTCTGTTTCACAGGAAAAAGAGGTAGAACTATACATACGTTTTTTTGTTATGAAGAGTGATTATGTAATGCATTTGTTACTTATGTAATACATTAGTACTTATGCATTTTACTTATGTAATGCATTATATAACATGTTTTTTTATTATGTAATACTAAAGCTATTTCAATAAGCAGCAATATTCTGGACAATAAAATTTAATCTAGTCCAATATCTCATATTATCAGTATTTGTTAGCTATAATTTAATTTTCTTAAGGACAACTATCAATCAATGATAGAGAAAGTTTCAATATTAAACTCTCTTACAGAATTACAATTATTCATTATGAATGATTAACATATTATTTTGCTTTTTCTTTTTATTATTTTAGCACGTTAGATTTACAATCTAACAATAATCGAAACATTTGAATCTATCTATTAAATTATCTAATGGGGATATCTCCGTATCGTACCGAGCCGTATATTTCGAAATTTTGAATAGTTACCTATTAAGCATTTAAGGTTTCATTTTTTTAAAATTAAGATATTTTACATATATAGTTAAATAAAGAAGATTGATTTTTACACATTAAAGTGTACATCCATATTAATGATGATTAAATAGAACAAAGTTGTAACTCTGCTTTTATGCTCTTTCTGCATTGATTGTTTCAGGTAAAGATTATTGAAGTGGCAGTCAAATAACATATATTAACCAAAAGATATCTTACTAAATACATATAATTAATTACTCTGTAACTTTCTCATAATTTTACATGTTTAAGAAAATGTCATACATGAGATTTTCTTGTGTACAAAATTAACAAAAAGAAACTCTATTATTAGATTCTTACATTAGGAATCCAGCAATTAGGAAGAGAACCTAATATCTGTCATTTATTTTAACCCTCTATATTTTCCCTGATTTAAAACATTATTAGTATTTGTTTTATTATCATAGCTTACAAAAATTTAAAAAGCATGAAAAGTTATTTTAATTTTTTAAATGATGTTATCTGTCTTATATAAGACAAATCAAAGAGTTAAAATCATTATTTAAATTGCTGATTTTAGTTTTTGTTGTCCTGCTAGTAATTTTTTTGTATAAATTAATCTAGTAAATCCACTGATCTATTAAGTTTGAATCTTTGTTTTTGATATAAAAAATTTATATTTGTTTATTTTTTCTTCATTTGTAAAAGCTAGAAGGAAAAATAATGTTACTGACTCTTACTGTATTAAAAGGATCTCTTAGTATTTAGATTTCCTACCAAATGTGCCGAAACATTGTGTCTACTTTCACATTGGTGTGTGAAAGTTTACATATTATTTATTCTAATCAATGCTTATAAGTACTTAAAAAATTTTTTAAAATTAAAATTTTTGCCAAAAATTCAAATTTTACAAGTATAGTTTTAAATTTTGTTTAGTAATTCTCTGAAAGTAGGAACTGTTCTCTGAACTAAAGAAGCTTCCTTGATTTTTTATGATTCTGTGGTGATTCCAACAACAACATAAAAGTGCCTGTAAATTCTAGATATTTTTCTAAAATTTTGAAAAATAATATTTTTTAATAGCATTTTATGAAAGTTTTAATTTTGTGATGGATATCAGACTTAGATAAAATGATGAACTTTCTGCAAATACAAAATTTAAACTAAAAAACTTTTTGCAAGCAATTTTAATGATCTCTTGACTCTCACAATATTAATTAACTCTTGAAACTAGTTTCAAATTGCACATAGTTACAAAACTAGTTTGAAAATCACCTATTTTTTAAGAAATATCTTCTTTTTTTTTGTAAAATAAACTCTATATGGAATATTATAAATGCAAGCATGCCTGAAAGTCAAATGCAATGATGTAATCATTGGTAAAATAAAAGCAGAGAAAAAAAATGTTCTTGTGAATTTTTAAAGATTCACCTTGCAAGATTAATATAGGGATTTTTACTATTTTCTTTTTTTTAATGAATAATGCTAAAAAAATGTACTAAATGTTTAAAAATATTGATTGCAGAGTGAAATAGGGATTTTAGATAATTTTTGTATTTAATAAGTAATGATTAAAAAAAAAAACTTCCGCGGTTTTAAAAAATATCTACTAGGAGGTTAAATAGGGAATTATGATGATTTTCTGTTTATAATGAAGAACTCAAAAATATTTTCCATGACATTCACGAATTTTCCACAAACAGCATTGTGAATAAGTGTATATTGTACGTATCTGGTTGTTATAATAATATTCTCGATTTTAGGTTTCTGCAAGTTGTGATGTAACTGATATCATAGGGGATTACGGACCATGGCAACGTATGATATTCATTCTGACATGCTTACGTGGAACACCAACTGCATTCTACAACTTAAGTACCCCATTCTTTGCACCAAAACAAGATGTTTGGTGCGCTCAACCACCAGGATTAAATTGGACTACAGCTGAGTGGCGAAATTCTGCTATTCCTCTTGTTGAATATGATAAGAAAATGGTGCCTAGTAGGTGCAGCATGTATGAAGTTAAGATGGTAGATGATGAATTTGTTCTTAATGTAAATAAAACTATACCTTGTAGTGCCTGGGAATATGATAATTCATTTTACATCAATACTTTAACCCAAGAAGTACGTATTTTTAAAATTATTTATTTTAGTGCAACTTTTTTTAAAAATGTATATATTTCCTTAATTAAATATATCAATTCGTCTGTTTAATTTTTCTTTTTGTGCAAGAATTTTTTTTAATATGGTATTTGATTAATCAATAACAATTTTGTTTCATGATTTCTGAACAATTTTCCATGCGTTTTAAAATTAAAGTATATAATTTAAATATCACATGAAGTAAAATGTCAATTAGCATTTAAATGTCACTACTTCATGTCTTTACTTCATNCCTCTTGTTGAATATGATAAGAAAATGGTGCCTAGTCGGTGCAGCATGTATGAAGTTAAGATGGTAGATGATGAATTTGTTCTTAATGTAAATAAAACTATACCTTGTAGTGCCTGGGAATATGATAATTCATTTTACATCAATACTTTAACCCAAGAAGTACGTATTTTTAAAATTATTTATTTTGGTGCAATTTTTTTAAAAAATTTGTACATTTATTTCCTTAATTAAATATATAAATTCATCTGTTTAATTTTTTCTTTTTGTGCAAAAATTTTTTTGAATATGATATTTGATTAATCAGTAACATTTTTGTTTCATGATCTCTTAACAATTTTCCACCTGTTTTAAAATTAAAGTACAGTAGGGAACCGATTATCCAGAATGATCGGGACCATCTCTATTCCGGATAACTGATTTTTCCGGTTTTCTGAATCGCTACAAAAAACCGTTTTTTTTATTGTTAAACCCAACTAAAAAAAAAAATTTTGGAAATAATCTTAAAAAGAAGAAAAAACGATGAAGTAATACACTAATGATTATTTCCAAAACGATGGTAAGGTAAACATCTTTCAAAAAAGAAAGAAATATCCTAAAATCTTATGAGGAAAAAAAACTTTTTTTTAAAAAAAATGGCGGGAAAATTTATTGAATTTTGTTCCGGTTTTTTTGGTTTTCCGGTTTTCTTATTTCCGGATAACGGGTTCTGTACTGTATATAATTTGAATATCACATGAAGTAAAATGTTGATTTAAATGTCAATTAGCATAGCATTCATTACTAACAAATTATTATAATTCTTTTAACCAATAATATAGATTAATAATAATGACTTAAAAATTATTTTTAAGCCATTATTATAATTTTGTAATGCTAGATAGAATTTATGTATTAATGTAAGTTCAGCAACTGTTCTTTGTTAGAGATTGATTTTAATCTTTGTTAGATTTTTGTTAAATTAAAAAAACTAGTTCAAGCACAAATGTTTTTTAACCATTATTATTAATCTATATTGCAATGCTAATTATAGTTCATTGCAAGCACAAATAATTTATTCTAACTTATTAAATAAGATTAATAATATAGTTTAAAAAAATTTAAACTTTTTAATAACTTTTGTAATGATATTTAAGATTTATTAAACATAATGCTAAAAATCATCAATATTTGTTTTGTAAAATATCTATTGTTATCTGCGAAATTTGGCTAGATGTAAAGTACTTGTCTAAATTTTTGTGTTAGGGTGCTATTCATAACTTTAAATTTTTAAATAAAACTGTGCTGAATATTTTTGTGCCAGATGGAGGCTTTATGTCATTGATTGTTCCAGTATGACTTGGTGTGCGACAGAGATTGGCTAATTTCCTACACACAATCTAACTACATGGCTGGCATGATGTGTGGAGTATTTTTATTTGGTCATCTTGCTGACAGGTATCTTTAAGTCCTTAACTTATTTAAAAAATAGTATATTGTTTATATCATTATGGTTAATACACTTAATGTTTACTAATATTTTTCTTATAATATACAAATGTCTTACATAAGTTGGCTTTCTTTTTCAAACTAGCACATTGTAAACTTTTTAAACTAAATTTTGAATTCGTTTCATCTTATGTGTAGATTTTTTCTTGTGAAAAGTGTTTTAATAAATGTTACAGTAGATTCAGCATTTGAGCGAAATGTAAAAGATCTTTTTTTTTTTTAACATAATCATTTTAATAGTAATAATTTGTTTTGTGGCTTACATTTTCTTTGATAGATTTCATACTTTAATGGTAAAATATGAACTATGAAAATAGTGTGGATATTTTAAAATGTACTTGTATGTCAAACTACATAGTATACAAACACATTATTGTTAAAATTTCTTGTAAAATTCTAATCAGGGATAGCAATTTTCTTCCAACATGGAAAAAATCATGAGAAAAAAAATCTTGAAAGAAATAGGTTTCTTCTAACCCTAATGGAATAACTGGAAGAAACTCTTTTTTAAAAAGAAATATTAAATCTCAAAAATTTATTTTGAACACTTTATAATTGCAATAGTATAATTTAAATATTAATCTTTATTTCCAAGCTATATAATTTTAAAGAAATTAAAATTAAAAAGTAACAACTGGAAAGAAAAAGGAATTTAACGGAATTCTTATCAAAATTGTTATAACTGTTATTTACTATTTTATGTGAATGAGTATCGTTAAATCTTATTTTATAGCCATGTAATAAATTGTCGAATATCACTCTACTATGCACTAAATTAATGAATTATATGCAAGATGTAGAGATTACTATAAATATATTAAATTCACAATTACAAATAGGGTACTGCCTTTTATAAACAAAATACTGTTAAGTATGAACATTTAAGATAAATCTGAAATAACATGATGTATTGATTTTAAAATTTTGTATAAAGCTAAAGTGAATAATATGAAAATGGTAATTTTCCCTTTAAAAAAAATATATATTTAAATTTTTTGCCTTTCTCGTACTTTTAATAATAATAAAAATTTCTGCATTTAAATATTTGAATGAATGCAAAATAATAAATAAAGTATTTGCATTTAACCCTTTCACGACGGGAAGCGCGAAAGCACGCTTACCGCTGAGGCCGGCAGTCTCTCTCGCGTGTGTCCCTCCAGGGCCGGAGGGTTTTTTGCTGTTAAGCCTAATTCCATTAAATTACCGAAATATCAAAGCATTGTTTAATATTGTTCTGTAGAGTATTTAAATGACGTATGCTTTATCAATATTTCTATTGATATTTTATTAACTTAAGTTATTTCTTGTTTAAATATATATTTTACGCATTTTATTTTCATTATGAACTTATTTAATAACATTTAACATTACATATCTGAAAATTAATATATGACTTAAAGTTCTTTTTTCGTATGAAAATTCTAAAACAGGGATCTACAAGATCTAACTATCCACTAAAAACTAAATCGAAGGTAGCGAAGAAAAAAAAACTCCCCTGCTTACTGTAAACAAATACCACATGCAAATTTAAAGAGCCGTCATAAAACATTCCTTCCCCCTAAAAACCACATCAATGTACTCTCATCTTGAGTAGAAGGTCAAATCTACATGTATCTGAAACCATATGGACATACAATGCCATCTTATGGAAAAAAATGTATTTTTTATTCATACTTTGGCACGCAGGTGTGTCGGCCGGGCAGTGAGTGCGTTTCTTGCTGGCACGTACGTATATATGACAGTCGACGCGAAAGGGTTAATATTAAAAATTCATAACTTTAGAAATTTGTTCTTTTTGTCTTTGGTTCTTTTAGAAGAAATGTGTGTAAACTCAATCATTTAAAAAAAATCATTCTGTTCCTGTAAAATCTTGATATGATCTAGTTTGATCTAAATTTTAATATGCGTGACTCCTATAAAATTTAATGGTACAATTGTTATTTTACAAGCTATTTATGTCTCACCATGTACTGATCGTTAAGACATGGTTCCCAACAAATCACTTAAGTCAAGCATCACTGGCTGTGGTCAGTATATGGGTGGGTGACCACTTGGATCAGTCTGCGAAGTGTCTGAGGGTGTGCGGTATTGATCCTCATTAAACTGTTATACCATAAAGTGCTCGACTTTGCGCAGGTCATCAAATTACAAAGTGGGGGTGCCATCTCTTCTGCAGAGAATCAAAATTGTAATGACAGGTCTTCAGATCATCCTCAGGGATATTTTCCAAACCGTCCGCAATAGCCCATTGTGCAGCTCTAGTGTGCTGTAAATGAACTACTATAACAATAAGCTTTTTATTTCACTAGCAAATCTAGTGAGGCCACAGTTAATCTGTCTACAATTTTGTTCTTCTCTTCATTTTGATTTATTGGTTATAAAAAGATAAAATGTTTATTTTAGTTTTTGGTATATAATTTTGTTATTTGTGATTAACCAATATCTATGATTTTTGTTGTAACACATCTTGTTTGGGGGTATTATAAAGTATAAAGTGAACTTCCTTTTAAAGTTGGAGACAGCTTTCATTAATGAATTTTAAAAGTAAAATTAGAGTTTTAGCTTTATTAATTGCTTTGTTTTTAAATTGTTAATTTTCTTTTTTTACATTTTGTTAAGAATTTTATTTCTTTTTCAGATTCGGTCGTCAAATAATTCTTAACGTATCTGTTACTTTGATGCTTGTTGCTAGCATTATAACTGCCTTTGCTCCAAATTTTACATTTTTTAGTGTAACGAGGTTTTTATTAGCTTTAGGTGTTGGTGGTACACAAAATACATCATTTTGTTTGTGTGAGTATGTTTAAATTTATTTTGAGGTGATAATTTTGCCTTGAAATGATTTATAATGCTCATTTTTTTCATATTTCTAAAACATTTTAGGAAATATTTATTGAATAATTTCTTGTTTACTTTTCATTATCTTAATAATTCAAATTTTTTTTTCATTATCTTAATAGGCTTTTTAATTTAATTTTTTAAACTTTCTCTCCTAACCATTTTGTTTTTGTCTAGAATTTTATAGCATATGTATGACACATTGACACTATCATATAGCAATTTTCTCAAAATTTATTTTTTTGAGAAAAGTGCTTATAATTTAGTGTGCAAAACGAAATTATGATATTTGCTTTGTCTCACAGATTATATGGTGTTCAGATAAATTAAGAATTTTTTCACTAGCCATGGGTATGGTCCAGAAAAGTCTTAATGTACCTTTCAATTTTTTATTTTACTTCACAGAATTTCTCCGAGATGAATATTGCAAACATTTATTTGCACAAATTTATACATTTTTAATTTTATATTAGCTTTTTTTTTTCTCAAGTACATTTTAGCTTTATTTACTTTATTTATATTAATCAAGTAGTAGGATATATTTACTTTTTTATGTTTATGGTTAAAAAGAAAATTGAACATGAAGTTATCCCTGTTGATCACTGTGTAGAATTCTGGTTCATTTACTATGGTTTTTATGTCTGTATTAATCACAAAGAGAGTCTAAATGTTGCATGCTCTAATTATATGTGTTAAAATAATACATATATTCATTAATAATCTATTTATCATTATCTTCTTGAATAACAATACCTTCATCTAGCAAAAAGCTGAGGATTTTAATCTTTTCTGGGAAATATTTTATCAGTTTTTCATTCTTTAATATTTTTATTCTATTTCTGAATTAAAGAAAATTTTTATGGGAAATTTTAAAACAATTCCTGTTTGAAATTTCATTCATTTTAAATTTTGTGGAGGTGTAAAAATCGGTATAGTAATCACTTGACTAAAAACTAAAAATGTGAATAATTCACAAATAAAGTACAGAAATGGACCTACCACAGTTCAGTTATATAAACAAGAACTTTTCTCTGTGTTTAAACACCAAATGACAGAAAGCACCTGCTGAGTGAAGATAATAAATAAATAAACAAGCTTGAATAAAATAAATGAAAAGAAGGAATGGAATTTAAACAATGAGAAAAGTTTTTATTTTTAGAACAGAAACTATTGTATGTCCATTTTTGTACTTTATTTGTGGTTTATTTGTGTTTTGCTTTAATCTACTTAGCTCAAAGTCTACCCTAACCTATCCTCTTTTTGGATAGTTGTCACTTCTATTTAGTTCCTGCTTAACTAAATGTTCAGTTGAAGAAGAAAAAAAAACATTTTTTTTTTGTGCTGCAAATTTTTTATTTTTCAAATTTCTGTGTTCATTTTACCCAAGATTTTGCATGTGACATCTGTCAAAATTGTTTCCCATTCAGCATTTTATGAATGTTTCTTGAACTTATTTTTTTAAATGTTTAAATAGAAATCTTTTTACATGGCTTTTAAAGAAGGAAATTACCAATAATAAATGCTCAAACATTTATCATTTTTAAAGCAATTATACTGTATTTTTCAGAAAAGTACTACTATTTAAAAGGTCAAATTATTATCAATAAAGAGAATAATATACAGTAGAGCGCTGATTATCCGAACTGCTCGGGACCGAACATGGTTCGGATAATGAAAAGTTCGGATAATTGGAAACTGTTTAAAATCTAGTGTACATGATTATTATTTATGCACTAACTTCGCTCCTTTTGTAGGCTTAGGACTGGTAGTACTATCTAAAATAGCTTTGACGTGTTTAAAAGTTTTTTTTCTTCCATTTTTAAATATTTTTAATTAACTTTTTTTAAAACTTTTTTTCATTTTGATTTATTTTTATCATATTTCAGTTTTTTATAATTTTTTTTGTCAATTACTGATTTTACCACATTTTTCATTATTTCCCATTGAAAAAGAAATCCAGCAAAGATTTCGTTTCAAAGAAGATGCGTTTTTTTTTAGCAGCCATATATCCCTTATTCATCATTTTGACGTTCTAGCCAATTCATTGCAATATCTAATGAATTGCATGCTTCTATCTTGAACTTGATCACTTACTTCTTCATCTTCGTCTGTGGAGTTCTGATTTTCATTAAAAATCAACAATTTCATCATTTTCATCCAAAAGATCTACTGGTTCAGAAACATCAGTTTTTCTGTTAAGAATTTTATTCCAAGATATATTATTCCAAGCACTGTAATCACTAATCATTAAATATAAGTGGCAACTACCCATTCCTCAATTATAAAACTTCAGCACTTATTTATTCATAAACTCCTTCTGCATTCCAACCATTGTAGACTATCAAAATGAAGCTCGCATTCTTGGAAGATAATTTTCAGTTGTAAAGGGGTAGGTAGGTTTAACTGTATCACCATACATGTATGTATGGCTGCTATGAAAACTGCTAAAAAGGTTGTAAATTAAATATGGTCTTCGAATGTAGGGGATATTATGTATTCTAATTAATTTAGAAAAATTGTCAAGATCTTAAAAAGTATTCTAAACTTTAAAAAAAAAAAAGAATTCTGACATAGTTTGGATAATTGGACATTCGGATAATAAGGGTTCGGATAATCGGCGCTCTACTGTATATGGCAGTATTGGGTTATTAAAGTCTTTAAAGCAGTCTTTGTATTTATTATTCGCTATTTAGTCTATTGCATATGTTTAAGAAAAAATCTTTTTCGTATGAATTTAAAGAGTAATTTAAATTTTTTAAAATAACTTTTTAAATTGTTTTTAGCTTATTTTGTTAATACGAAAAATGCTCAAAATTCCCTATTTCACCCTGCAGTAAATATTTCTAAACATTAGTAAAATTTTTAAATGTTTGGTTCAATAAATTTGTCTAATTTTGTATTGCTTTGTAAGTTTTTTGTGCTTATTAATTTATTATTATTTTTTTAGTAATGGAAGTTATCGGTCCTATATATAGGACTAGAGTTACGTTTGCATTCTCTTTTGGTTGGTGCTTTGGTCTTCTATTACTTCCTGGTATGACATATCTAATTAGAGAATGGCAATATCAACAATTAGCAAGTGCAGCAGTGTCTTCCATTTTACTTAGCTATTGGATGTAAGATATTCGATTTAATATTTTTAAACATTAATTTGAAATATGATTAGTTACTGAAGGGTTCCTAAAATATAGCTAATTATAGAAAGTTTGTTTGTACACACTTTTATTTATTTGAAGCTCTTATAAATACAACCATTGGTCTTTTCTGACTAAATGATATTTTTCAAGTCTTTTTTTTTTATTTCTATTGACTGTATTTATTACATCTATATGCCTTTTCACCATATTTTTTTAATATTTAGATTAAAATTGTAGTTTCTCAAAGGTTTTATTCAATTTTACTTTTAAATACATACATATGTGTGTAAATATATATGTATATGTATATTGTATAAATTATTTAATACTTTTTCCAGTGTCTCATAAGTTTAGATCAATAGTTCAGGTGTAAAATTTTATTTATTAAAAAAAAAAACTTTATATAATCTATAAGTACATGGATTTAAAATCCTCTTTTTTTAGTTTTATGCCTGAATCTCCTCGATGGTTAATGACTCAAGGAAAATATGAAAAGGCTGAAAAAGTGATGAGATCAGCTTGTAAACGGAATCGATTAAAAACTAATAATATGCCAGTTATGATGAAGCAGCTTAAAGAACGGATTGAGAGGGTGGGTTAAATGTTAAATTCCCATAGTTTGTGTGCTGCTTTAAGATATTTGCATTAATTTATTTCAATGTTAATTTTTGTTGTTTTTAGGATGAGAGGAAGGAAAATCCAAACATTATTGACCTTTTCAGAACTTCCAATTTGCGTAAAAATACATTGTTTGTATTTATATCATAGTAAGTATTTGAAAATAAACATTTGCTTTTTGATGTAAAATCTGTATCTATTAAAAACAAAGCTCTCATTCACTCGTTACTAATTCTCCCTCTAAAATTTTAAACATTTGTTCTTTAGGAGATAATAGAAAAACTAAAAAAGTTTCATTTTAATATTATGTAATTGAACAGTAATGCTTAACACCATGCTTTTACTTAGAGAGAAGTCTCATATTTCGACTACTTGTTCCATACCAGATAGAGGGAGAAGCTAAAAAGCTTCATTTTGTTGTTTTGTGATTAAAGGATTATTAGCTTAATAAACAAAATGCTTAAGAAATGTTTGAGTTTGCCAGAAAGCTGGAAGTCTTAAATTTCGACCTTGTGTTCCTTATCAGATTAAAGAAGACATTTAAAAAGTTTCATTTTGATGTTTTGTAATTATTGGGGTACTTAAGCCTAATTAGCAATAATGTTAAATAACACGTTTTTATTCGGATAAAAGTTTCAAATTCATTCAATGTATCCATTATAAGATAAGTAGAAAAACTAAAAAGTTTGGATGAAAGTATAATTATTGTCGGAGAATAAGAACTAATAATGAACTGAAAGCTCTTATCAAGCATAGAAACATTGTAACATTCATCAAAGAATAGAGACTTTCATCGCTTGGTCATATTGCGAAATCACCTGACAACTGAGTGGTAAAGATCTTGCATTAGAATCCCATGTGCAGTAGGCCAAGAATAAACCAGAGAAAAGGCAGATGAATGATGTCTTGGATGATTTAGAAACTCTATCTAAAGATCTATAACTGGAAGGTCAGGGATAGAGCTGTGTGGAGAAACATTGTGCGGCAGGCTGTGGCACACTCCAGGCTGTAGTGTCAACAAAGAAGAAAAAGTTTCATTTAATTATTTCCTACATATCAGGGTAATAACAATTGCAAAATAAGTTTGCCACAAAAGTAGAAGTTTTAATTTTGACGACACTTTCCTTATCAAATAAAGGAAAAACTGAAATGATTTTTTTGAAGATATTTTGTAATTATCTGGGTAATTAGAATGTAATACGTCTAATTGACAGTAATGCTAACTAATTTCTTGTACCAAGATAGAAGTCTCAAATTTGAACTATTTGTTTTTTGTGAGATAAATAGAAAAACTAATAAATTTTATTTTTGTATTTTGTAATTATTGAGTTATTTTCTCAAATTTAAAGTCTTGCTAAATAAAAGTTTGCAACAAAGATAGATAATTGACGTAGATTTGCTACAGAGATAGAAGTCTTAAATTTTGATCAAGTGTGCCTTATCAGATAAGGGAATTAACTACAAATGTTAAATCTTGATATTTTGTAACTATCAAGGTAATTAGACATGATCACCCTAATTTGACCCGTGAAACAAAACACTTTCCATCCAAATTAGAAGTCTCAAACTTGAATCATATGAAATTACAAGTATAAATTAAAAAATTTTTATTTGGGAGTTTGGTAAATATCGCTGTAGCTCGATTGGCAGTCTTGCTAAATAACCCGTTCTCTTCAGTTATTACCAAGTTTCTGGACCACCACAGCAGATTCCGGCTCCTGTGAACCGGGAAGTGGTAAAATTGTGTGTGGATCAGCTGACCTTTGATTCGTGCTATTGCTCTAAAATACTGATGCTGATGAGTCAGAGCAATACTGCAGAAGACTGCAGGGGTTGAATTTATGCATGTTAAGAACTGGTAGAACCGCGAACCAGCTTCATCGCACGTTTATTTTCTTGTGAAACGTTCAACAAACTTACTAACATTATAAATAATATAGAGTTAACAAACTCTTTTTTATTATAGTGCTTTAAGATTCAGAGACATGTGTAAAAAGTTTTTGAATAGCCTTTTTTACACTATAAATTGCACTTAAAAATTAAATAAAATTCTTTTGCAGAGATAGGCTCCTATTTATTTTCTTATTGTATTTTTTTAAATAAATTTCAATACATTTTGACAGGAAAATTAAAAGTATGAAGGTATTAACTCAGGGTGTTTCAACATTAAGAAAAATTTAACATTTATATTATTTATAAATAAAAAAGTTATAAAATTTTTTCTTTTGAGAATATTTAAAATGAGCTATTAATTAATTTTTTAAAAAAAAATTTAGCGAAGTACGCAAAATTATGTTTTTAATTTGACAAAATTAAATGTATACTTTTGTAAATATTTGCTGCTCTTTAACTTCTTATACATATGAATATTGCTATTATTAAATTGGGGAAGTCGTCATTTGATATGAAAACTGAATTCATCATGGTCTTAAAAGCTGATTTTTTTGCAGCCTTCTTCCTAAAATGATTGCGCATCCCTAATTATTAATTATGTTTTAACGTATTGTTTAAGTATACTTTTGTTTTTTACATTCTTTTTTTCTTTTTTAGTTTTTCAGTTGCGTTTGTGTTCTATGGACTATCTTTAGGACAAACTACTCTGGCGGGGAATCCTTTTCTCAACTTTTTTATTGGCTCAGCTGTTGAACTTCCTGCCTATTTCCTTTGTATGCTATTTATTCGCTACCTAAAGAGGAAACCTTCCTTCTTAATATTTGATATTATTGGTGGCTTAGCTTGTTTTCTTATGATAGATTTAGGTATATGAAATTTTTTCTCTAGGTCTTCTTATGATAGATTTAGGTATATGAAATTTTTTCTCTAGGTCTTCTTTAGCCATATAAGTTTTTTTTTCTGTCTGTTAACTTAAATTATTAGTTGGCAAAGTATAATTCCAGATTTTATGTACCTACTTAAATACATAAACTGATTAGAAAATTATTTTGTGTTTTAAAATTAAAGATGTCTCACTATGAAAAATAAAATTATTTTGATTCAAGCCAATTCTTGAATTAAAATTTTATTTAATTAAAATGCTTAATTCAGAGACTATTCATGCACCACATTCTGAAAAAGTCAACCCATTTTTTAAAATATCAATTTAATATTACAATGATTGAATAACATTTGTTTTATTTGTACTTTGAACAAATTTTATAATTCTTGTTGCAAAACTTGAAATAGATGAAAAATTAAAAATTTTTTTTTAAAAAAAAGTTTATTAAATTCAGCATTTAGTTTTTACATCTAGTCAGAGCTTAAGTAAAACATGTGGCTTTTATTATTTAAATTTGTCACAATGTTGGTTATTCTACTTTCTAATGTTTTAAAAATCTGTTTAATCGCTGAGTTAAACAAAAAAAAGTTTTACTTCGGATTTGGCAATTATCATTGTAATTAGTCCAATTGGCAGTCTTGCTAAATAACCAAACCTGTTTTCCCCATTTACTACCAAGTGCTTGGTAGAGCATAGCTGATTCTGGCTCTTGTCTTATTAAAGGGCAAATAGGTGAGTTCGTACAGGTAGCACACTTTGAAATGAGACACTGTATGTGAATAAACCAGCCTCCTATTCCACTAAAATACTAATACTAAAAGCTTTTCTTACGAGGCCAAGTTTCAACTTGTTATTTATTGTTAATTTTTATATCAAAATAAAAAAGATTTGCATTAGACTTAAAAATAAATGGCATGAAAGGTTACAGAAACAAGTGTAGAGTAATATTTTTTATTGATTTTAATCTTGCATTAGGAAAAAATAGAGCAGTGACAATTTGAGTCTTAGCTGTTCTTTTTCTTTCTTTTTGAAGGAGTTAAGAGATAATGTACTATATATGTCAATGAGGACTTTAGTTTGAAGCACATAGTGTAAAAAAGTTTTAAAAATTTTTTTCTTTCATAATTTTTTTTCTTAATGACAAATCTCCTTTTGTGTGATCTGTGCTAGGTTATCCTATATAGTTGTTGGATTAGATTAACATGATTAATCTTTTACCTAAAGCATTTATTCTGTTATTTATTTAGCAAGAAGTGTTTCAACTTTTAATTTGAACTTTTTTTCAATTATTTAGAATATTATTTTTTGTTGAATTTATCATAGGTAAATCTGTAAAAAAAATTATTATTTTTTATTAAATTAAATTCCCCCCCCCCTCCATCTAGGACATGAATGGTTGAGGATAACGGCGGCCATGGTTGGTAAACTTTGTATTAGTGGTGCATTTATCATACTTGCTATACATGCTGCAGAAATATTTCCAACTGTAGTCAGAACTGTTGGATCTGGTACAAGTCTAATGATGGGAAGAATTGGTGCATCAGTAGCTCCATTTGTTAAAGAATTGGTAAATATTATGATTAAAGGATTTTTTTAATACATTGTGTTTAGTGCCTTTTACAGATCATAATAATTGTTCTTTAAACTTGCTAAAATTTTATATTTGATCTTTTTTTTTCTCTTAAATTCACCACCCATCTATTAAAACTTAGTATTTTTGTTATTCCTTTTTCTTTGAATTGTTTAAAAAAAAATTATGTTACTTGTCCATTTCATCACTAACTAGTCCATAGCTCATTAGCTATTCTTTGACCATTAAAAGCATTTTAGAGTATAGCAGGAACCCGAATACGTCACTTTGTTGGCGTAAATGTATTTTGCACATTGTTTGCACAAATGAGATGAGAAAATAAAGAAACAAAAAGTTACCATCAGTATAAATCAGATCAGTATAATATCAGTTTTCTTAAATATTGCGAACTGAAATTTTAAAGATTAAGGAACATAATTTGAAATAAAACAAATTTATGGGTTTGAAATCTGATAGAAAGTTGCACTGTGATATCAGGTGCACATAGAAAATCCACATTCAAAGATAAGTTGAAGTAAATGGTGGTGTTGATCAACAGTATCTACCTTGTTTCACTCATAGTTTCTGGGGAAAATATTGGAAAAAGAAGGGAGACTTATTACTGATTGTAGAAAGTGTGCCAAAACACATAAATTTTTTAAAGCTATTAAAGGAGAGGGAGACTTATTACTGATTGTAGAAAGTGTGCCAAAACACATAAATTTTTTAAAGCTATTAAAGAAGGGGGAGACTAGCAAAAAGGCAGAACTAATTTTTGACTATTAACAGAGATAAGGGAGGAGTGATGCTCATAGAGNAGTATTGCACTCTTTCCATCACGTGATTGTAACTCTTTGCTTGCTATCTGTGGCGTGTCTTTTCGGAAGGAATAAAGCGAACTTGGTTCCTCTACCTACTATTTCAACTCTATGGTGATGCTCTTTCTTCTGCATCAGTAAATTCTCATGAAGAAAAAAAAAATGCTTTTTTCAGCATTTTTCTTTGTTTCTCAGTTTCCTTTTTTTTCCATTTGATTTCTATTTTTTTGTAGCATAGGTGCACAATAACACAATAATGAAATAAAAATTAATATTCATTGAAAATGTGAACAATTATGTGGAACCTCTAAAATATTTTCTGTGGAACAAAATTTTGGAATCTCTGTCCTAGAGAACATTTTTGTGTGTTACAATTGTTTTTAGTTGACTTTCAGGGTGTGATGTATACTATGTCAAAAAAGGGGAAATGAAATTTTATTGATCATTGAACATAAGGTGCATTGCAGAAAATTTAAACAATATTATTTGTTTTCTTCTAGGCGTTATCTATTTAAAATAATACTTCATAATCTTTCTTATACAAATGAATGTTCAGAATATCATTTCTTGTCATCATTCTAATATGTGAGTTGCATTCTTTGGATAAACTCAGCTTTTTTTTCCTTACTAGATTTTTGTTATTTGTGACTGTATAATAACATTGGTGTTTGGTGCAGTATTGGCTTAGCCAGCTTTTCAGCCATTAAATTCTATTATCTATTACTAATTCCATTATCTCAAGCTCATTTTGTTAGGAAGGAGTCAAGGAATCTAAAAAAACCAGGAGAAACTGGAATAAATGGAAGAAACTGAAAATGACCAATTATTTAAGAGTTAAATATTCATACTTAACTGTATTTGAGTATACAAATTAGCATGCAATTCGTAATTGTGAATTCATTGTGTGCATTTAGTAGTGTATTTGTTTTTAGTAAATGATTTATTTTGTTAAATGATTTATTTTAGATGTGCTAATAAAATTTGATTTTGTTATTTCAACAGTTCTGTGTATAAGTATAAAATTGGGTTTTACTATACTCATTCACTATTGGTAATAAATATAATATTGAGTTTTATATTTATATATAAAATTGTGTATACATGTATATAAAATTGGGTTTTACTATACTCATATAGTGAAAGAAATTTATTTGTTTTGTCTACTTGTTGCTTTTTTATTTGAAGCTGATGTATTAAGTAGGTCGAAAATTAATACTGTTATTAAAACTAGATTGTAAATTTTAATCAGTTTTAATATTGAATATTTCTGTATGAAAAATAGTTTTTTCCATTTCTTCCACTTGAGTTGGAAGAAACGAGTTTCTTCTAGGGCTGTGTTTTTCCACTCTGCAAGAAGCTTTCCATATCTTCTCAATCACCCGAGTGGTCATTTGTCTTCTCACATTTAGTTTACAACACTGTTTAATTTTTTTTTTACTTAAGATGTGTAATCTCATTTAAGTTTAGCACAGTACAACTTGTGCAATTAAACATTATATTCCATCTATTTAGTTTACCAACAATAAGTTAAAAACTTAATTTATTATTCAATGTTAAAAATTGCTTTCCCTTTACTGCTTTATTTCTTAAATAATAGCTTCAAATTTTTTCAATTTTTTTTTGTGCTGATGCAACTGTAAAAGCAATAAGTCATTTTGTTTATAGGGTATTGCTATAGGAAAACCAGATGAAGCACCTGCAATTGTATTTGGATCATTGTCTTTTCTGGCTGCACTTATGATTATTCTGTTGCCAGAGACTTATAATCAGTGCTTACCTGATACTATTTGTGAAGCTGAAGAGTTGGGAAGGTAATTTTTATTTTATTTTTTTAACCATAACTAATCAGTAAATATTCTGTCAAATATTGAGATTATTCTTACATAGCTGTGAACTATTAACTACTTTGTTTTTCTGAAAAAGTTACAAGTTAACTGATTCTATTTTTTTTTTTTTAACATTTAATAATTTTATGTCATTTATTTGCCAGTAAATGGTTTTTAGGTTTGAAATCGTAATTCAAATGATGCAGCATGTTTTAACTGTGACCTTTAAAATTTCTTTAATCTAATGCCTTTAATGGGTTTTTTTAAAAATCTTTTTGTTGATACTAACAGAAAATGTGTGTTCCTTTGACTAAAAATCAGTTTTAAACTAAGTCCTTTTTGTAACTAACATTGTGAAGCACTTACTGAAATAGCTAAATATAATTTTACTCAGTATACAACAAATGAATCTGATTATTGTTTGACATTTAGGTGTAGAAACAAAATTGATATTTGTTCGAATTTCAAAATGCTAATTGATAAAAAAATTGTTAATTGATTGGTTTATTTAGGCGTTAAACTCAATTTGTTATAGTCAAATTATAATACTACAACGCATTTAAATGTGTATATTTTGCTCTAATAAAATTATATATAAGTTTTGTATTAATTACTTTAAAAAAATACTAGATATGTAATAGGAATAAATATAATCCTCATGCAATTTATTATTAGCATTATAAGTGTATGGCTCTGATTCAATTTAACCATTTTATTAAGAACACCAATTTTGCCACAGTTCTAACATCTTTTATTGTACTTTTGCTGTAGTTCTCATGCAATCAGTCTCTTATTTTGTCTCCTAGCTGAAATGTAAATACACTTTGTGGGAAACTCTTTAAACAGTTTAGTGATTTTAAATTCATTGAATTAAACAATGTGTAATCTTTTAATTTTTTGATGTACCCAAGTTAACTGCTAAACAATGCATATATTTGCCTCATTTTTATTAAAGATAAAATAGAAGCTTCCTTTTACATTTGCAGTGGGACTGTTACTCCTCACTTCTTCACTCAAAAATATCAAAACAGATTATGTAATAATGGTAGTCAAACCTATATTCTGGTTATGACGATTGAGGCAAATATTTACCTGGAGAATGCACCATGCATTACACATCCTCCGTTAAGAAATGAATGTAAAGAAATACTTTTGTACTGAAAATGAACCAAGCTGAAATGAAAGTAAATAATTATAATGATAATTAAATCAGTTATATTGCTGAATATTTCTAGAAATGCCCTTGCAATTTTTTCAATATTTTTAAAAAAAATTTTAAATACTAAATTTTTTTACTATATGGTAATATCATATTCTTTATACGCTAAGATAGAAAGTATTTCAGATTATTCGTGAAACTCTTTTATTAAACTTGATGCTTTTGGTTTAAAATGTTTCATTTATCATCTGCTAATGTGTTTTATATCAAAAATTTATGATCAAAATTTAGTTTTCAAATTATGACTTTTTTTTATGAAAATATTTGTATTTTTTACAGTGGATTCAATTTAGCACAAAAAATTGATTCTGATGATCCTGAAGAAATTAAGTAAGTTGAGAACAATTTATTTTGTAGAATGTTCGGTATTAAAAAGTGCAATCCTTTTTATTTTGCTTAACTTACTTATGTGTGCCAGGTTGTTTGTCACAAACAGTTTTGAAAATTTTTATATCAAATTTTATAATTTTGGTTAGTTGTTGTTACCTTAGGAAATATTGATTAAAATTATTATAAAAAAATTTATTACAATTATTATTAAATTTGCTAAGGAATCATTATAGTTTGTATAAAATTAACTGGACATTGTGTAATATTCTTATAAGTTTGCACTTAAACAGTACTGTATATACAGTGATTGTTTTACTGGAAGATGTTGCTCTTATTTGTAAAATAAGTCATTCACTTGTGATTACAAAATTATTGAAAAAAAAATTCTGTTGATCTTACTGTAATAAAATTAAACAAGAATTTGTTTAAATGTTCATACAAATGTAAACTGAGGCCAGTGAATTTCTAAAATAATACAATTGAATGTTCTTTTAGAAAATTATTTAAGTATATTAAATATTAAGTAATTGTATTAGATCCTTGTACATTATAATAATTATACATACCTTAATGCATTAATATTTAGAAATGAGATTGTTGGAAGTAACACTAAATCCTTATTTTTCTGGAAGAACGATTAAGACCAAGCTCATTTTTTTTATTGGTTTACATGCATAAAAACTTCCCTATTTCTAAAAGTTTTATTAATGAATTTTTTAGAATGTTAAAAAATATTTAGTAAAAGGCAGTTTTAATTTTCTTTTAATTCATGCAATTACACTATTCTAGAGTTAAACATGACAGTAATTTTATATACTTAAACATTTTTAAGGTAAAAGTTAAGTTATTAATTTTTATATTTGAACACTTTCATATGTTTATCTTTTTTAGTGAGGAAAACGATATCAAATTAAGCATGCTGAACAATGGAAAAGATTGCAATGCCTGATATCTTCTATGAATAAAGCAAGAATACTTTGTTACCATTACCTGTATTTATTACATTTTTATTTACACACAAGTGATATATTTTATTGTTTTGTTTATTTGAGTTGCTGTTAACAACGTTTTTACATTTAAATATTTTATCTTGCTTAGCTTATTTGTGCAGTATGGTTCTTGTTAAATTGTAGTTTAAAAAAAATTACAATTTCTCATCTAAGCTTCAATTATGTTTATTCAGATATTAAATGATCTGGATTTATTATCAGGAATCAATATTAATTAATCATTCATTGAATGAAAAAATAAAACATTATTTAACTGATTACTAATGTTCAGAGGTGTTAAAGTCAATTTATGCCTGTTTGTTTTATAATTTGCAGTATAAAGGTAGAATAATTAATTCAGGGCATAAAATTTCAGTTCTAAAGATTTTAGTTTGGCAAAAAAATTTTACTGTCTATTTTAAATTTATGAAAAATATGAATAATTTTTAAAAAAGTTGACAAGTTAAGTATGAAGAACAATTTCATAACTGAAACCATAAAGGAATGCAGAAATTTTAAAATCAAAACATATTTATTTTAATAATTTCATAGGTAAAATGTAGATTGTTCTAAATTGAAGAAAAATGCAGTTATCTGGTTTCAAAAAACACTTTCCACTGTGTTAAGATAAAATGGTGTAAGCTTATATAGCTTCACTAAACACAACATTTTAAACTCGATGCCAGCCTTAAATATTTGGTTGTCAATGAAAAGCTGATGAGTGTGAATTTTGCGTCCTGAATTATTTTGTTATAGAATATATATTGATTAAAATATTCTATGAATTAAGAGTTTGAAATTTACATTCTTCATGAGTATTGTGTTAGCCAATAAAAAAAAACTTTATTTAATTTAGCTAATCACAAAACCATGCATCTCATTGTGCTTATGGCATTATTGTTAAATAATAAAATTAAAAACAGTTTATTATTAATCATAAATGTACTAAAAACAGTTCATTTAAGTATAAGGTCTATCAAGTACATTCAAGTAAGGTCATTCACATTTATTATAAATCAACTTAGGTACATTAATCCACATTTTATATGGTAAAAAAGTAAATGTTACATAAATTTGTAAAGTAACAGCCAGAAAATAAAACTTGTAAAGTGTATTTAAATTAGCAAATTTTATAAATTTTAAAATCTTATGAAAATATATTATGTAAACTAGAAATATTTGTTAATATACTCATAGTTTTTATTAATAAGACATTCATCTAATTTTTTTTTATTACTAAAATTCCAATGAATTTAAAAAAATAGAAGATTTTAACTAGAATAATTCAATGAAGTTTTTAAAAGAATTTTATCTTTTAAATTTTGTTTTATAATGTTTTTAAGTATGAGAACTATTGTATAAGTTAAATAAGTATCAATTTAATAAAAGCTATATCCTTTAAATATGTTGTTTAATACTGTTTAAAAGTTGAAATTATAACCAGTTTTTAAAGGTATCAAGTTTTAGTATATTAAATAGAAATTTTAATGTAATAAAATTAATATTTCATTCTTTATCTTTCTGATTTTTATAGTTAGACTGAATTCCAAATATTTCATTTCAAAATTTAATTTTGTCAAATATTTTTCAGAAAAAAAGAATCTCGTCAAAGAAAGATATTTTCTAACTTTTTTAAATTTTTTTAATGTAAAATATATCTATATATTACTTTAGTTTTTATTTTGTTATTCTAGAACAGTTGTCAGCATGTAGCAAATAGGTAATGTGTAACACTTTCTTAATTGCATTATTCACATTCCTATAAGATTAGTGGGTAACTTTTTAAGGAATAATATATGTGTAATGCCTATCTATCAGATACAATTAACGTCTAATTTCTATGCTGAGTATATTAATTTAAATTCAGTTTTAACCATTGCATATTGGGTTTTGTTTTTCCACTGTTTACAGTTTCATTTCATTTTTTTTATGAGATCAAATGAATAATATATTATTTTATTAGAATGTAAGAGTACTTCAGCATAAGTAATGTCGAACTATTAATATAATGTTGTAATTTTAAAAACCTAGAAAGAAATGATTAGATTCTTGACAATTCTACTTCTTGCTTATCTTACTTATTCAAATTTCTTGCTTCTCAATATGTTTAGATATTTATATTTTAATCATAAATATGAATGATTTAAACAATTTTTTTTTAAATTTTTCAGTTACCATAAAGAATAAAAAATATTTCAACTTTACATTTTTAACTATGATGCAATTGCTTATTATGAAAATTAAACCTTGTTACATATGAATCTTGATAAATTTTTTTAAAGCTCTTAAATATAGCTTAATATAAGGTATGCTTTATCAATGTTTTTAATTTGTTTTATTAATAACCCAGAAGTTAGGGAGCATACTCCTAGTTGTTTAAATGCCATAAAGAAGAAATTTTTCCTCTTTTCTTTTCTTGTATAAATAAATGAGCTAGTGTTAAATAAAAAAAAATTTGTAATTAAAATTGCACAGACTGTAATTTTTAAACTTTTTGCTGAAAAAAAATTCATATGAAATATGCATTGAGAAATTGATAATCGAATTGGTGCAATCTAGGCATACCTGTCAAATCAGATTCAGCTCATTAATCTGAATATTTTTGTTTTAATTTTTAGTCTGTACTGTTCAATTTTTTTTTCCTTACAGATTTATTTTTTTTTTTTAAAAATTGAATTAATGCTAAAAATTATTATCAAGAAAAAAATTGAATTAATACTAAAAGTTATTATTAAGTGAAAAATTGTCTTGTTGAGACTAGGAAATTAATTCTTGAAAAATATATAGATGTGATTAAGGTTAAGTGCTACTGGCTTCAAGTTATAAAACTCCCCCATTATCATGCAATAAGCAATTAGAAATAAAAATTATTTTTCGATAATTAAAATTTACTTGTGTTAACAATTACTCAAGCAATGCAATATCATCTGAAATATGTAATTTATTTTGAAAATTTTCATCATTTAATGGGTGATAAAAAGGAAGAAAAAAATGTAGTATATTTTATTAATGATTTTTTAAGTGCATTAATACTTCAGTGTCTGAGAAAAGATATGAAACCATTTATTGATTTTTTTATGATTATAGATTTTTAGGCAAGTCCCATTTAAATAAGTTGTTAATATTTAAATTTTCTGTTTTAATTTGGTAAAATATAGTTGTTAGGTATGTGTCTTGCTAAATATTTTTGTGCACATTATTTTTCTATAAATTACACTGCCAAATCAAATCAAAATAGTAAATCTATTTTTGCCACATTGAACTCGATATGTTGTCTGCATGTGACTGTATTACTTTGTACTTGCCCTATACTTGCAAGATTTTTATGATACAAGCTTCCCAGTTATCATTCTTAAAATTATGTAGTTAATTTAAAGCTGTACTTTATGTGATATTTTGATTTGTACAAAATTTACATTACCTATTATTTGGTTGATATATTATTGAATTGCATAATTTTTGCTATAAATTCATTATATTTTTATTAGTTTTACAGCATATTTTTTAAACCTAATTATATGTAATAATAATTTTTTTTTGGGATAATACTAATTTTCACATGGAATTCTTTTTTTTGGAAGTTTGCTAAATTCATTGCTAGCAGTTTTCTTGATTCTTGTTCATAAATTTCCTTTAAAAGTTCTATAGCTTGTTTGCATTATTTTTATATCATTTTATGTATTACTAGTACAATTATTTACAATTATACTAAGATATATATATATAAACAAATCTTATTTGAAAGAGAATAACTTCAAAAATGTCTATCAAATGTAATGTTCTGTATTCATATGCAGTGAAACATGTTGCATTATTATATTTTTAGTTGCAATTTTTGATTTTATTTTGAATCTCATTTACTTAAATTAAATTACTTTATATTACTTTCACATTTCTTTGTAGATTGCATCTAATTATTTGCCGTAAAATATATTTACACTTCATTAAAATAAAATTATTACGATTAAACTATGATTATTTTAATTCCCATCATTAAGTTTTGTTTGTTTTATGTTTAATTCTCATTTTAGCTTGTTATTGAATGTTCAGCTCATTGATTCCTGATTTTCTTGGAATGTCTGGTTCTTTTTATAAAGTTTTATGACCAAATTAAAATTTCCATATTCCAACCATATTCTTCATATTTTATCATGATCAAAGAAAGCATAGTATAGTAATTTGTGATATTGCAGTAGTACTATGACATTAAACACACAATAATAGAAAATACTCTTTTTTTATATATTTGTTTATTTCTTTTTTATTATTTGTTCCTATGATCAGATTTCATATACTAAGTATTCATCTTAATGATCTGCAGGATTGACTTCAAATATACTAATTAATTTTTGCTAACTATTAAATCATGATATTAGTTATATAATAGTTTATTTCAATAAAAATTTTTTTTTTTTTTTTGGTTGACAGGTTTTGATTATTATCTATGTGAAAAATATGGTCTTAATAGTTTAATTCAGTGAGTTGATGAAAATTTGGACCCCTTAATGATAATTTCTTTTCTTTTGTGTGTGTATTTATCCATACCTTGGGAACTTCTTAAATTAATCTCTTTGTACACAGTTATGAAACTTATTTTTCAAAGATTATTTCCATTCAACCAGAATTTAGAACCATGAAGATTTGCACATATTATCTGAAAATCTGATGAATAGAACAAAATGTATTCATTTTAGTATTTTTTGTTTTTGTTTGTACATTTAAGTTGAAGAAGGTATCTTGAATTATCACTGATATTTTCTCACAATTTTATTACATAAATATTTTGTGCTTCTACCAAGCTTTCTTTTTCATCATCATATTTTGCCATATGTAAGATTTTGTTTTGCCCAGAATATAGTATTAAATTTACATTTTGTATTTACATCTATTTTATTTGATTTACATTTGAACATACTTAATAATTTAACATTCCAAGTTTATTTTTACATCTTTTACATTTTAAAAGAAATGTTTGTGCAGTTTTTTTTATTTTCTATAAAACAATTGATAATACAATAATAAGCAGCAAGTGAATGATAATGACCGGTAATTGTTTAGAAAATTTTCTATGATTAATATCTTGTATAAGCAGCTTTTAACAGTTTGTTGTGTGCAATTTTACTCTGTATTTGTTTCTCTCTCAGCATATTTTGTCATGTATATCAGATTTCAGTCTTAAATTTTTAATCGTACAAAGTGTCTGCAATATTATTTACACAAATGTGCTTGTCATATACTAATAACCTAATATAAAGAGTTGTTATATAGTATTTTTTCATAACTTTAAGTAAAACAGTAGTTGTACATTAGATTTCATTCTCTACAATAACTGTGATAAAATAATAAAATAGTTGTGAGTGTGGATGTTTTTTTCTTTTAATTTATTTTAATAATAAAGAGAAAAAATTGGTATCTGCCAAAAAATTTCAAATCAAAATCGTTGTATACTTTTTCCCTCATATATTTTGCAGAAAATAGAAAATGTTCTATTAATTTTTAAATTTACATGTTATCTTCTGTAAAATGAGTTCTATTTACAGTCAAACCCCGCTATAGTGAAACTTCAAGGGACCGAAAGTTTGGTTCACTATAACCGGGAGTTCACTATAGCCGTTCCGCAAACAAAAACAATTTTAACTAATGGTTCCGATCTCCTTTGTTTTATTATACATTATTTAAATAAATGACCAATAAAATGAAATTCAAAAATGACTGGAAAATAATACGTAGTAACAAAAAATGTGTTAACTTGCTTTTATTTTTTATTACTCTTCGTCTTGTGTATAAAAAAATAGTAATCTTTAGCTCATGCAGGGAAAATTTCTCCATACATCTGTCTGGGTTGGCCTTTGATTAGGGATGGAAAAGTGAAATAAAGGAAG